GAAAAAAAAAAAAAAAAAAAAAAAAAAAAAAAAAAAAAAAAAAAAGAGGAAAGGATTGGTTGAGTCCCGGGAGGTTCTAGAATAAAAGTTAATTGAAACCTCAAAGTGTATATTTTATTGTGAGAAATTGGATCTACTCCCTGTGACATAAAGGGCTGCACTGCCATGTGGGATGATGTGAGAGAGAAAGGAGGAGGAGAGCAGAATCATTGCAGGAGTGACATTTTTCTTAAATATAAATGATTTTTCTTGAAGGCCTGTGACCTGTTGGTTTCTTTTTCCAAAGATCATAAGAATTGGGGCATCAGCAAGTGTTCTAATTCTTTTGTGTCCTGCAGGTGTTGTGTGTTCAGATTAAGTGTTTCCACGAAATAATCACTATTGGCTACAACGTCTACCATTCCTATGATCTGCCCTGGTTCAGGACCCTCAGCTGGTAAGCTCTCTGGCCCCATAGGGGCCCTTCATGGAATTTGTTTTGTGGCAGGTATTTATGGCGATGTAGATGGGAGGCAGATTGATCGTCACAGGCTCCCATAGCACATTTGAGACCTGTGTGTTTCATAGGCTTTTTAGTTACTAGAAATCTGGAATCTTCCTCAGAAGAAATCACATCAGCTACATCTGTGACCGAGTTTGCCTTGATGTTTGGATTCCTTAGGCTCTGCACAATGGCCCCCCTTTTGCTAGATCAATATATTGTTCATGCTGTGGTATCCAGCATCCCACTAGAGTCATCTGGGAGTTATCAGATTCTGGTGCTGGTGTTGCTGTCTCTGGAACCTGGTTTCCTTGTCTCTAAGATAAAGCTGTGACTTAGTGATTTCCAAACTGTGGTGTTGGAGCCCTGGTTCTTTAGAGGTGCTTTGGATGCCAGAGTAGGCAAGAGTGAGACTGAATGCACAGGATCTGGGCTCCTCCAGAGAAACTCTGCTTTCTCCCCATCCCAGGAAAGGCCTTGGCTGCTTTAAGGAAAAGACAAAATAAAAGCCTGTAGTGCAGGTAATTTCCGAGACCCCTTCCTGATCTGAAAATCTTTGCATTATTGGCCATAATGTTCTCAGGTAGTGACATTTGAGCAGAGCACTGCACAGTCCTGAGAAGACTTGGGGGCAAATACAAATCATACTTACCCACTGTGCTGGGACCCAGGGATTGTTCCATGACTTAGAGTAGCGGGCTGGTGAGCAGTGTTTTGTTCCCCAGCAACTTGGTCATGGCCAAGGGAGCTGACGTATTCAGACATAGGCTGGACACACTTTTCCCAACAAACTTCCCCATCACTCAACAGTACAGGCTGCTTCCCAGCCTCTGGATGGACCTGTGATTGCCACCTGGGTGGCTCTTCTATAGCAGGAAAGCAGTGTTTTGAATTTTGTTAACATACTCAGGAGGTCTGACTCCTGGTTGTGGTCACATTCCAAAGGAAGTTTTTTTCATGTAATAGAAAATAATAATAATATGAGTTTTTGAACTTCACAATTAAAAAAAACCAAAAACCGCTAAAGAGAAGATCACTCTTCTTGCTGAGGGTTTAGAGTGGTGGCTGCATGGTCCCATACTCAGAAGCACTATGAAAGCTGCAAAGGGACACAAGCCATTGCTTCTCCCCTCACGGAACTCCGGTTGAGGAGAGAGGATATAAACAAGGGAAGAATTAATGCTAGTGTGTCATTAGCACAAACTGTGTGTGTCAGAGCCAGGGTTCAGAAAGGGAGATGGAGCATAATTAATTGCTTAGTGAAATGAGCAATACTATTTGCTATAGAATTAAATGTGGAAGAGGCAGATATCATGTTAGGTCATGCAAGGTTTAATGAAGAAAATGGTATCTCAGCAACAAGTGAAAAAATGGATCAGCAAAGAAGATGCTTCAGGCAGGGAAAGGGCAGGAGCAAAGCAGATGGTGGCAAAGCCGGAGAGAACCATTTTGATAGGAGTGGAGGCTGCCTGTGGGGAAGAATGGGAACAAGACTCGGGAGGCAGGCTGAGGTGCATTTGGAGAGTCTTCTTAATGGTTCAGTGTTCTTCGGCTAGGTGTGGAATGCTATGAAAGGGGCAAAAATTGAGCCCCAAATTTGTGATAAATGGAGAGTGGATGAAACGGGAGGCAGGCTGAGGTGCATTTGGAGAGTCTTCTTAATGGTTCAGTGTTCTTTGGCTAGGTGTTGAATGCTATGAAAGGGGCAAAAATTGAGCCCCAAATTTGTGATAAATGGAGAGTGGATGAAAGCTGCCCCAAGTTTCTAGATAAATTCTCACCTGCAATGTCATCAGAGAACAGGGATCATGGTCTGCTCGTCCCATTGCTACCTGGCTGGGGTCTTGAGGGTGGGGCTTGTTGTTCCCTGACTTCTTGGGGCTGCCTGACTGCCCACTGTGAAGGAGAGGTGGCATGTGCTCCCCGTGGCACTGACCTGTCTCTGTTTACAGGTATTTTCTACTGTGTGTGAACTATTTCTTCTATGGCGAGACAGTGACAGATTACTTCTTCACTCTGGTCCAGAGGGAAGAGCCTTTGAGGATTCTCAGTAAATACCACCGGTTCATTTCCTTTACTCTCTATCTGATAGGTATGTGTTAAGTGCTTCACCAGTTCTTGTGTCTGTATTGTTTTTGTATGTCTGTAGAGTAGGAGTTGGGGAATTTCTTGGTTAAAGTTCTGTGACGTTAATTCTGACCTTGCAGAGCTCATGGCTCTGTCCTATCTTGAGCTGTAGCAGCTCCTTACTAAGAGAAAAGGAGACTGAGGGGGTTGTGGTTGTGGGGGACTGCAGGCTGTGCCACCTGTCCTGGTGGACAGCAGACTCTGGTCCTGTCCTGACTCTCTTGTCAACAACGATTCTGTAGTGTGACCAAAACAGAAATCATCCAGGAACTGACTATCTATAGAGGAGTCAGCTTAGTGCGTACTGCCTTGAAAGACATTGCAATGTGGTGGAATTTTTTACTGCATTTGAGTTTAAAAAGACTGCAACCTTAGAAGGGCTAGGAACTTAAACTTTCTGGGACTCAGCTCTTTTGAAATCTAGAACTAAAACTGAAGGGTTGTTGTGAGGGTTAAATCAGATACATTAAAACTTGACAAACAGTAAAGTAGTTAATGTAAACTCAGTTAAGAATCTATGTTAATTCTAATAATGGTAGTAGTTTCCATACTTGCCTTCAAAGCCAGTTTGAGGCACATGAGAAATTTGTTCTGACCTATTTTTGATCAGCTTGATGGAAGTGTTTGGCTTTGTGAGTAACACCTGGCTATTATAAAATCCACTGCCAAGGGGTTTGCTGCCATTGAGGATATTCAGAAAGCATGCCTCTGTCCCTGAAAGCAGCCCCCGACAGGGGGAGGTCAGGGGTCTGGAACAGCTGGGAAGTACTGCTTTCGAGGGGCCCAGTGCACCTGTGGGTAAAGGTTCCTTTCCTTCCTGGAGAACGGAAGCTGCAGACATTTTTTGCCACTATCTAGGTTGTTGTAAGAGACATGCAAGGGTGCTCTTGACCCCTTATCAAATGGGTCCCTTCTCCCCGAGCCCTATTCTCTAGTAAAAGAGTTGGCAAACTTTTTCTTAAAGGTCTAGGTAGTAAATATTTTAGGTTTTGAGGATTATGGGCTCTCTGTTGCAACTACTTAGTTCTCCCATTGTACCATGAAAGCAGTTATAGACAATATTTAAACAAATGGGTGTAACTGTGTTCCAGTAAAACTTTATTTATAAAAATAGGCAGCTGGCCTGACCATTGTTTGCTGGGCCCTGCTCTAGGAACAAAACATTTCTATCTGGTGAACAGTGTCCTAAATTGAGTGTGGTCTGCAAGGTGGTAAAATATTGCCTTATTTGTCTTTAAAGATAATGCCAAAGAAAAAGAAAAAAAAAATATTGCCTTTTATTGTCATGAAGAAGTTATTTTTTCCTTCTGACTGCTTATCTGGATAACTAGTTTTTCTCCCCTGGGCTTTGAAATTATTCCCTGGTTAACTGCTGCAAAGAAATTAGCCAAAGGTCCACTTAACACAGCTAAAGGAATTGACTAGGACAAAGATAAATGTAGAATGTGATTCATTTTACCCTTTCTCCACCTCCCTTCTCCAACTAGGATTCTGCATGTTTGTACTGAGTCTGGTCAAGAAGCATTACCGACTGCAGTTCTACATGGTAAGGGAAATAGATGTGTGTGTCAGGATTCTTGGTTTAAATGAAGTTATGCAGAAACTCAAAAGGCCTTTAATGCTTTCTGTGATAAATCAACACTCTAGAATGTGGTGTGTTCTGTATGTACCTAGAACCTAGAGAATGAAAGAAGAGTGCCAATTTAGGTTTGTGTTTAGAAAAAACAAATTCAGTTTTTCCCACAATACTCTCACTATGCGCTTCAGACATCAGATGTGTAGGGATTTCTCCCCACCAACAAACAAGCAATCAATTCTGCAGCAGACACTAGCTGGTTGTCTTCTAATCAGTTCTGATGCTGCCTACCTGGAGATAGCATCAGATCCCACAGGTTGAGGGCTCAGTCCCCAAGACTGCCCCCACTTCACTTCAGACACCTGTTGCAAGTCTGGGCCTCCAGAAATTCTGACTGACTGGCTTCAAGTTGGGGTTCCCATGCCACACTCTTTAGCTTTAACTATTTATTATTATTTTTATTTGAAACATAATTGTACATATCTGTGGGGTACAGAGTTGCATATCAATACATATGTGTAATATGTGATGCTCAAATCAGGATAATTAGTATATTCAGTATTACACAGTGTTATTTTTCATGGCCCTTTATCGATTCCTCCCTTACCCCCCCTCCCCCTTTCCCACCTCTGGTAACCTCAGTTCTTTTCTCTCCTTTTGAAATTTCAATGTACTACTGTGATTGTTGTATCTTTCTCTTTAGCTTTAATTTGCTAGAGCAGCTCACAAAACTCAGGGAAGCACTTGCCTTTACTGGTTTATTATAAAGAATATTTTAAAGGATACAAATAGCCAGATGAAGAGCTACACAGGGTGAGGTCTGGAAGGGCCCACGCACAGGAACTTTTGTTCCTGTGGAGTTGGGGTGCCCACCCTTGTGGCACGTGGATGAGTTCTTGTTCACCTTCCTGCAAGCCTCCATGAATGAGTTCAGCTGTCCAGGAACTCTCTGTACCCTATCCTGTTGGGCCTTTCATGAAGGCTTCATTGGGTAAGTGTGATTGTAGCATGGGCAACCATGTAGAAATGTGATTGGACAAAAAGGGTATGATCCAATACTAATAAACTGAGTGGGGAATCCCAGCAAGGCCTGTCTGTTCAGATTCTTCTTGGCCTGTCTGTGCAGCATTCTTCCTCCTGGGCATGGGGCAAGACCCCTCTTGAAATGGGGGTCTTATGACCTACAGTCAGACAAAGCAGGTAGAGACAGAAAGACAGGGGAAGATTAGAGTATATTTATAGTTTCTATGGCCTGCCTTGGGGAGAAAAAAGAGCAGGTCAGAGAGAAAGATTCTGAGGCCTGCATTGGAAGACTAAAGCACCCGAAATTATAACAAAAGAGTGTTTTTCACCTTTATCTCTCAGAACCTGTTTTGAAGCATCTTCAGGAACCAAGGACAAAAGGCCAAATACTTTAGCAAAAGATATGCTTATTGCTGTAGTTACTTAGGAAATAAAAAGGACTATGGGAGTTATGAGTCAGGAACTGTGGATGAACACCAAAAAATATATATCATAATATCACAGTCTGGCAGCTTTACATCAACTTAGACCCAGTAAGTTACTTAACACTAGGACCCTGAAGGTGGGCTTCAGATAAGCCTCAGGCTGAAGCATCAGACCTTGCCCACAGATATCCTGCCTGGTACATCACTTGGTACCAATCATTTCCTGCCTCAGGTTGAGAATGTGTCTATGAGTGTCCCAAGTGCTGAATTAATATTAAGAAAATGAAAAGTACCTGGGTTTTCAGAGTATGGCAGGACTCTCACTAGTGGGACAAAGTGTTACTCCCAGAAGCCTGTTCTGTACCTTTTACTTCCAGTAGGTCAGGTACAAAAGCAGATATTTTTCCTACTTGTTTATCAGCAATTTTCTGTGTGGTATTAGCTGTTCTTTGAGGTTACTGTCCAGGTAAACTTGATAGGTAGAGTTTTTCTTCTTTTTCAGTTTGGATGGACCCATGTAACGTTACTGATTATTGTAACCCAGTCACATCTCATTATCCACAACCTGTTTGAAGGGATGATCTGGTGAGTGATGGCGGGGGGTTCTCTTTTATTTTGTGGGTGTTTCTCATGTATGGGTAGACTGAGGACCCCTGCTTTACCTTTTAAGCTGGTGATTCTCTTACCTTGAGCCACATCAGAATCCTCTGCAAGGCTAGTTAACAACACAGTTTACTGGGCCCCTCCCCTGAGTTTCTTCTGATATTTTGAATTTCTAACATTGCCAGGTGATGCTGCTGCTGCTGGTCAGAACCTGTACTCTGAGAACCAGTGTTTTTAAGCTAACAGGTGACAGAGATATGTAAAGAACCAGAGACAGTGTATCTGTCTGGCAACAAATTTGAAAACCTAGGGGAAATATTTATGATTTCCTGGCAAAATGCATACTAAAAGTCATGAAGAAGGAAACTCGAATAGATCAATAATTATACTAGTAGAAGAGCTTTGAAAATTGTATAAGTCCCCATACTGACCAGCCACCAAAAAAACCCCCCACAAAAAACAAAAAAAGAATAAATTGTGTGAGAGTCCACACTTGGAAAAAGGAGCAAGACCAAATGGGTTAACAGCTGAGATTTATTTAATCCTTATAGTAAAGCTGATGAGGGAGAAACAATAATGATAAACTGATTTCTTTTATGATTATAGATAAAGTCTTCTTTTTTTTTTTTTTGTCTTTTGTCTTTTTCTGTGTCCGGCAACGGGATCGCAACCCTCGGTGTTGCTCCCGCGCCTCGCTCAGCCAGTGAGTGGGAACCGGTCTGTATGTGGGATCCGAACCCTCAGGCGGGAACGCCGCCGCGCTTCCCAAGCGGCGCACTATCCAGTGCGCCACCGGGCCGGCCCTATAGATAAACTCTTCTAAATAAAATACTAGCAAACAGAATCTGGCAGTGAGTCAAAAGAATAATATGCTGTTCTTGAGTAGATTTTATTCCAGAAATGTAATGATTTCAACAGTAAATCTATCAGCTTTGATAGAAATCAGCAGGCAGGGCTGGCCAGTTAGCTCAGTTGGTTAGAGCAGGGTGTTATAACAGCAAGGTCCCTGTACTGGCCAGCCAACAACAACAACAACAAAGAAGAAATCAGCAGGCTGACTGAAGAAGCTAGATGATCTTAGTGAAAATCTAAAGGCAGAGAGAGAGAGGTACTTAAGTATTGTGGTCAAGGTCCCAGAATGTACCTGTTTCCAGATCTCAGAGTTAAGATGCAGTAATACCCACTTCCTGAGGAGTAAATTAGTAAATATATGTAAAGTGTTTAGAAGCAGACTAGCTCATGTTAGCTTTAGGCATTACTACATTTTAAACAATTATAATGGCCTGGGAGGCATGTAACTCCTTCCCTTTCTGTCAGTGGTTTTGTTAGGTATTTCTCAAGAGTGGCCCGTGCTTTATCATCTTTAGGGCCAAACATACCACTTGGTTCTACAGTGCATAATATTAAAATCGCTGTAATTATTGGTTTACAGACTCAACCTAGAAGACTTAATTATGGTTATAGAGCAGAACCTATGTGCTAGAAGCCTTGACAAATAATGTTGCGGGGGGTTGGGAGGTGAAAGGAATAAGGAGGGTATAGATGCTGTAAATCCCTTCTTCAGCAAACAGGAAGTCAGAAAAATACCATCTACAGCTGATGATCCAGGAAATCAAGATTTATGTGTATTATGTTAGACTGTAATAGAAGAACTTAAAAGTGTCAGAGAGTGGGGAGTGAGGAGAGGAGGAGATGGTGCAGGTGTGGAAACTGACCCCTCTTCCATGGCAAGGGTGAACAGATCAGGGGAGGTGGGCAGACAAGAAATCTAACTGTGCGTATTGGGGTTCAGCTCTCTGTTTAGTCCTAGGGAAAGGTAGGGCTCACTAGAACTAGTAATGAACAGTAAAAAAGGCAAATAAATTTTGAAATAGATGTAAAATATGAGGTTACTTGAAAACGTTCACGGAAAGATTAGTACTATCTTTTTGTTTTTGGCTGGCTGGTACCGGGATCGAACACCAGACCTTGGTGTTATCAGCACCATGCTCTAACCAACTGAGTAACCGGCCAGCTTGTATTTTCTTTTAAATCTATTTTTCCATGAACTTTTTGAAGTACCCTTGTATATTATTTAGAATTGTGGATGTAATGACTAGAAGAAGAAAATTGTAAATTATTAGAAGTGGTCATTTTGGGGAATGGAAATAGGGATGGGGGAAAGAAGAGAACTTTTTCTGGCTGGCAGCTGGCTGGTGTGGGGATCTGAACCCATGACCTTGGTGTTACAAGGCTGTGCTCTAACCAACTGAGCTAACTGGCCAGACCTTTTCTTTCTTTTACATTTCAAATTTGTATTATTGTGTGTGTATATTACTTTATAGTGAGAAAAGAACAAATGACATTCTATAGAATGCCACCTCCATTTATTCAGTGGTCATTCAGTGAATATTGGAATGGCCTGTTATGTGCTAGATACTAGTTATGGCTTTCAACTTATTCCTGAATGGGTTACAAGTACTTCATGGATTATTTTGGTACTGAAATTTATGAATGGCATTGTTTTGTGTACCTTTGAGGTACTGTCATCTTGGTAGAGTTGATCCTCATGTCAGTTTATTTCCTAGGTTCATTGTCCCTATTTCTTGTGTGATCTGTAATGACATCATGGCCTATATGTTTGGCTTTTTCTTTGGTCGGACCCCACTCATCAAGGTAAATGGATACCCCTAACATGAAATATCACTGTGAGGGAAAGTAGATCAGTGTGGGAGACAGTGAGAAAATATGGCTGGTGTGTATTGTGGCCATGTCTTCATGTCATCCTGAGAAGGGCTGGTAACAAATTAATCTTGAGAAAAGCCAAAGGAAAACATTTACAACTACTCATTTAAAAAAAGGAGAGAAAGAGAGAGAGTGCTAATAAAGAGAAGATTTTTACAGACTGTATAGGCACACTTTTGGTCTAGATTTCAGTGTTGTCATTAAATTAGTATATTGTTTTATAATATAATAAAATATTTGAATGACTGAAACAGAAAGGAAACTGATGGGTATCAGGTAGGGAACAAGGAAACCACGTCCGGGGGGATGTTTAGAAGGTGACATGGTTTTGCAAGGCTCTGCTAGAAGAAGAAAATTAGAAATTATTTTCTTCTGTCCAGTCTTTGACGTGGTTAACAGAATGGACGTTTTATGATAGAAGTTTTTCACATGAAATCATTGTTCCCAAAGCCAGAGTCAAAGCTCTTTGCTCTGGCCAGTCTTTGACGTGGCCAGTCTTTGACATGGTTAACAGAATGGACGTTTTATGATAGAAGTTTTTCACATGAAATCATTGTTCCCAAAGCCAGAGTCAAAGCTCTTTGCTAAGAACTTGCTTTCTCTTCACAGCTCTCCCCGAAAAAGACCTGGGAAGGCTTCATTGGGGGATTCTTTGCTACTGTGTTGTTTGGCCTCGTGGTAGGTGGTGGCTCCCGATTGGGTGGGGGAATAGATAGAGGCCTCACCGCCTTCAAAGGTCTATTATCCAGGGCTAGAGAGTGTGTCTCTCGGGGCCAAGGACTCTGTCCTGAATGGCAACCTTGCCCTGAAGAGGGCACAAGCACGGCATGCTTGTAACTGGAATAGGCAGCACTTGCTAGCCGTCATCCACCGATGTTGAAGCAGGGCCTTGGCAGTTGAGCGGGGGCCATGTGCACTCACACCTTGGCATGGCATCCCTGGGCAGCAGCGTCCTTATTCAGGCATTTGATATGCCCAAGTCAGGGTAACTGGCACCCAATAGGAAAGGGTGAGGTGAGATTTGCCACTCCAATCCAGGTTTTCTCCTGCGTGTGCCCTGCCCAGAGGTGGATGTTCTTCCTGCCCTTTCAATAGTGCCATTCCCTGATTCTGGCCCTCAGGCCAGTCTCTCTCCTTTTGCAGTGTTGTCTGGCTGTCCCTCAGTGCTATTTCCCTAGCTTCATTGCTCTCCAGCCTTCTTCCTCTAGGCTGACTGCCTCTCGCTGTACCCTTCCCCATGACCTGCCTCCACTTCTCACTAAGCGATCCCAAGGAAAATGGACCACAGCTCCCTCAGATGGGGAGAAACTTCTTGTAGTTCTTTGCCCAAATTCCTTCAGGTATTTCTTGGATTCTTTCAGGGATTGTGTTTGGGTGTATATGTGTGAGACCTCAGTGGGCCATAAGCCTCGTTTTATTTTTCAAATTCAGGTAAAATACACGTGATGAATCAGGAACCTCTGATTTAGCACCTAGCTTGCATTTAGCAGGGTGCTAGACACTGTGGGGAGCATGGCCATACCAGGTGTCTGCCATCCAGACTGGTTGTCTGGAACTTGTCTCCTTGCCTGTCTCTCTGTTCTTCATCTTCAGCTGTCCTATGTGATGTCCGGGTACAGATGCTTTGTCTGCCCTGTGGAGTTTAACAATGACACCAACAGCTTCACTGTGGACTGTGAGCCCTCAGACCTGTTTCGCCTGCAGGAGTACATCATTCCTGGGGTGATCCAGTCGGTCATTGGCTGGGTATGTGCCACCCACATGGGACGAAGAGCCTCTGGGCCTCGGTTGGATCATGACTACGAAGGCAGAGCCCCTTCCACCACCACCTGCCCCTCAAACAAACTAGCCTCCTCCCTCCCAAAGCTGTAAGCCTCAGGATGAAGAACTGTTCAAGCCAGGTTAGGGTGAGGGCAGGAGGAGAACTTTCCTCCCACTTCAGCTCGTTTAGACCAGTAGATCTCAAAGTGTGGTTTGTGGATCCCAGGAGGACTCCAAGATCCTTTTAAGGGGGTCTGTGAGGTCACATCTGTTTTTCACCATGTTGACGTTTGCTGCGATGGTGCAAACAGTAAGTGGCAGGTGAAACTGCTGGTGCCTTTGTGTGAGAATTACAGACTAGCAGGCAGTGGGTGCTTCATGCCACGTGCCTGCAGTACAAAAAGGCCACTTGCTCTTATGCATGTCTTTGATGAAATAGTAAAATTATTAATTGTATTAAATCTTGACATTTACTACATACACAGCTTTTTAATACTCTACACTGAAATGGGAAATATGCATAAATGTTTCTGCTAAATACTGAAGTACAGTGCTTACCTAAAGGAAAAGCATGTGTGCAGTTGAGTTGTGAGCTGAACTAGTTGCTTTTTTTCTAGGAACATAATTTTTACTTGAAATAAAACTGACCAACTATAGTTTTTCACATTTGGGTATTTGGTAGACATTCTTCTTAAAGAATGAAGTGAACCTGTCACTTCAAGGAAAAGGACAGACTAATTGTTACCAATGATAACATTTGGCTTTCGTGTGAAAATTAAAAGTCTGGAAAACATGTACCTGCCTCTGTGAGCTTAACAGCTTCCTAATACTTACTGGCTTTTCTGATAAGATCGGTGGTGATTTTAACACGTGGTATTTTGACATTGTATGGCAAAATGTATCTACATCTGGAAGATTTACATAACTCAGTAAACAGCTGTCTTCTAAACAGCTAATGCATGGTGTTACACAGTCATTCATGGGTAAAAGATTCATTCAAAGTGCAAGATAGGCCAATGGATTTTAATGTAGAGAGTACAAAAAGTTCAATAAGATTTAAGATTCCCCATTTTACATAATGTTTAAGAAATGACCACTTGTCGAGTCCTGGTATAGTGTCAGAGAATAATACTTACACTTATCTCCAGGCTGGGTTTTCTCCATTTACTTCCTCCAAAACAACATATTGCAGCAGACTGAATGTAGAATATCTTAATGTCTCTCATTAAGCCAGGCATAAGAGATTTACGAAAACGGAAAAAGGTCTACTCTTCTTAGTGATTAAAAAAAAAAAAAGATCCATACAGAGTTATTTCTGTTAACTGTGCTCAGACTGGGCTTGTATGCACCTTGACTTTAACCTTATTTTTTCTTCTCAGGAGACAGTCAGAATGTACCCTTTCCAGATTCACAGCATTGCCCTCTCCACCTTTGCCTCTCTCATTGGCCCCTTTGGAGGGTTCTTCGCAAGTGGATTCAAACGAGCCTTTAAAATCAAAGTAGGAAAACCCTTTTCTCTGCGCCTCTCATCTCACTCCCTCCTCACCCATCTTCTGCCTTTCTCCCCCTGTCCCTCCCCATGAACTAGCACCCCTTTCAAAATACGAGGCTGTACACCTTGGTGATTCATGTGAGCTCCTCCTGACCATGCACTGAATTTAGGTGGGCTAAATAGAAATGCATTGTTTCCAAGAAAATTCACGTTGGATTTCACTTTATGTGTTAATATGTCATATCTTTCTTTAAAAAATACTTTGTCATTTAATAAGATTGTGCCTTCTTATGGCCTCGGCATCTGACTCTACTTTTCACTTTCTGTTGACCTCAGCTACTCAGTACAGTGGCTACACATCAGGGTGTGACCTTAGGCTGGGATTCGGTCATTGGCGGAGCCCAGGCTCACCCATCCTTTCTCTGCCTCTAACAGGACTTTGCCAATACCATTCCTGGTCATGGAGGCATCATGGATCGCTTCGACTGCCAGTATCTGATGGCCACTTTTGTCAATGTGTACATTGCCAGTTTTATCAGGTATAGTGCCTTTCCATCTGACCAAGTTGGTGGATTTTTAAGTATGGTACAATTCTAGAATTCTAGCTACATCTAAGTTCCAGAGAAAAACATCCCAAATGTGAATGCAGGTTTCAGTAGTTACTGTTCGTGGATTCTCTGAGGCCCCCTCCTGCCCTATGTTATTAGAGAGTTTAGAGATCCTAGTAGCCACTTGGATAACCACGCCCTAGAAGGTGCTGGGCCCCAGCCTAGTGCTGTTCTTCACGTTCTGTTCCAGAGGCCCTAACCCGAGCAAACTGATTCAGCAGTTCCTGACGTTGCGGCCAGATCAGCAGCTCCACATCTTCAACACACTCAAGTCTCACCTGAATGACAAGGGGATGCTGACAGCTGCCATGGAGGACGAGTAGGGGACCCCAGGGGCTGGAGAGAAGAAGCAGGACTGAGCGAGGGCAGGTCTCCAAGGCAAGCCCGGTTGGTGTGGCTTAGACAATGACGAGGCTTCAACTCACTGTCTTTTTTTTTAATTTTATTTTTTTGTAGAATGTTTTTTATTTGGGGGTTTAAAAAAATCTGTATTTACAGTCTGTGTTTATGATTGGGGTTGTGAGTAAACTACAGCTTTGAGTTGGAAAGAAGTCACAGAGGTAAAACTATTCAGGTTTTTTAAACAAAGAAAAATATTGAACAACGTGGAAGACAGTGTTGCCTAGCTCAGGAGTGTCTGCTTAGTGGTCCTATCCCCCATCAATTGAACTGTTTCAGGGCCGAGTCAGAGAGTGGACATTCATCTGTGGCCGACCAGTTCAGGGTGCTCTTCTACCTGTTTCTGGGTGCATGGCTTGGATGTCTTTACTGTACTGGAGAGCTTTCACCTTGGCTTCTCTAGCAATCTGTGCCATGGGGCTATGGGAGGGTTGCCTTCTTTAGGCCGGAGAGATGGAGGCTTATTAATCAGATAAGCATTCTATCCATGCTGAAATCCTGCAGAGTTTAAATAAGCTCTGCTTTATAATATAGTTTCACCTTACTTCATCACAGACTGAAAGAAGGTTTTAGTTTTTATTTTTCTCAGAAAGCACGAAAAATTATTTATAATAGTCTGGAAAAAAAAACACAACACACTGTAATATTTCAAGTGTATGCAGTAGAATGTACTGTAACCAACCCCTTTCCCAAATGTTTTAGGCTCAAATGTCTTCTGTAAGGCAGTCTAGCTAACTGTGTCTTTTCAGGAGCAATGCTGTTCACGTTTGTATTATAGACCTGCTGCTGCTGCTGATTCCTTCTTGGGGGCTTTCCCATAGGCAGGGAGCAGAGGGCTTCTCGTTCATGCACCCTTTGCCTGAACACCCATGTAGCTGCTCTGTTGTGTATATATTACCCTTGACAGTGTATATGTCTGTGTGTTTGTTTTAAAAGTCACTTATTTCTTATTGTATTTTCAATTGTACCATTACTTCTTCACTGAAACCACAAAGTCCTGCTTAAAACTATGGAAAACCTAACCTGATTAGAGACTTGACTATTCTGAAGATTAAATGCACACTTTTATATAATGTGACCATTCAAGTGTAGTTTGTATTTTGCTGGGGGGCTTTTGTTGTTTTTTGTTTAAACTGTGATTTATATTTTTTTCCCTCCCTGATTCTAGGAGTGAGATTGATTTGGGAAGACAAATGAGTTCTTTGTCAGGCCAACAAGCAATGGAGTGTGGGAGAGAGAATGTGGTGTCCAGATGTGTTGAATTATTCCGTGCCATGGTTGTTTTCATTGTCAGTGAGGGTGTAGAGACTTGCTTCAGCACCGTGGTCTAGTGGTGGTTTATGGGGTATTGTCTTTTTTTTTTTCTTTTTTCCTTTTTGTCTTTTTTCGTGTCCAGCAACGGATCGCAACCCTCAGTGTCGCGCCCGTACCGGACCGGGACCGGCAACAGGATCGCAACCCTCGGTGTCGCACCCGCACCTTGCTCAGCCAGTGAGTGGGAACCGGTCTGTATGTGGGATCCGAACCCTCGGCGGGAGCGCCGCCGCGCTCCCAAGCGGTGCACTGTAGCAGTGCGCCACCGGGTCGGCCCTGTGAGGTATTGTTTTGAAGTTAGCCTTACTGCTTTCCTGAAAGCTCACGGTCAGCCCACATCACTGAAGTGTCCAGAGAGGACAGAGCCCTTTCAGCTTACATGTCATTGTGTGACCTCTTGCATGTGTGCAGGGTTGCAGCAGCTTCTTTCCTCTGAACATTTACTTCCATTTTCCACCTTGTGGCTTTTCTTTTTCATGTCCAAGTCCCCCTTAAAAACAATGTGTTATTGCAAGGAGTTTCCATCCTGGCCGTGTGACCCTGGACAGGATGCATCACTCTCAGGGTTCCCATTTTCTGAGCTGTCCTCCAATTCTACTCTTCGGTGATTCTGGCTGAGCAAGTTCATGTCACCAGAAGCTTCATGGGTATTGAGTCATGTCCTGGGCACCCATAAAGGAAGTGCTTTCAGGCCTTTTCTCAATGTGTGCCATTAAGATTACTCAGTAGCTTAACAACAAATCTTAAACAGTGAAGGTGATTAGTAATGAAACTGTAGCTTTCTGATTGAAGATTGAACCTGGATCACCAAACTAGACACAGAAGGGTAGGGGTGCCTCATTTGTCTCTTGTTGCCCCATTGTGGGCATGTGGTGGGGTCCTGAGAGCAGAGAGTCTCAGCTGAGGCCCAGCAGCAGAGACCTACTCGAATAAGGCTGCCTTTGGGATCGGGGAGGCTGGCAACAGCAGGTGAGGCTCACGTTCCTTTGTGGAATTTGTTGTTGATGGGGGGTCCCGGGAATCAGAGAGTCAGTTTGGGTTTGATTTTAATCTTGTTTCTCACATCGTTCTGGTGAAATAAGAGGGATTTCCCAGTCAGGTAGCCAGAAGAGTGTCACCACCTTGTGTCTGTATAGCATGTTTCTCTTTCTCCTATTTACAGGCAAGATTCAGGAGACTGTTTTAGCATACACCCATGTGGATCTTAATGAATGGCATAACTTGCTATAGCCCCATTTTTTGTCAAATAAAATATGACTGAAACTGTGTGCCCTCCCTTTTCATGAATTCAGTGTTTATCACTTCCATGCATGGTTTTATTTTTCTTGTCGTTCATGTATTCAGTATTGTGTCATCCTGAGATTTTTGTTTCATTCTCCAATTTGTCTCCTGTACATCCTCACAACAGCCTACGCAAGAACCTCAGGTGAGCGTCGTGAGCACCTTACCAGGGGGGAGCTTCCGCAGGGTCACACGGTGCAGTCAGGGCTTACTCCTCTCACACTCCAGCCACAGGACCAGGACTGGACGGCCCCCCAGCCCCTCACTGGCCTTTGTGAACGTGGTGTGAGTGCACCTGAAATATTGCAGCCTTCCTTCCCTCGAGCTCAGGCCTGACCGGAGCCAGGTTGGATGGTTACATCGCTGTTAGCTCACAAGTGGTGAAACAAGGATTTGGTGAACAGGGGGTCACAGAAACCCAGGCTGACTATTGAAACATGAGCCTGGGTGTCCCCCTGGTGAGTTCTGCTGGTGACCACTCACAGGGCACCAAGTTTTTTCCGTTTGTGTGTGTGCATGCCACCCTCGTAACCACTTTCAGCAATGAAGAAATGCACATTTATTTGCCTCTAAGGCAACCCAGGCCTTATTTATGTTTATTTTTTTTGCCTGTTTTATATTCTGAGCATTTTACTAGCTATAGTATAACTACATTTAAGTGTATTTACTCTTACTGTTTTAGAGTTCTGAAATGTATGTGAACTAGTCTTATAGCCATTGAAACTAGTCTCTTTTCAGGGAGCTAAAATACAACTTTTAACCTTACACAGGTGGACTTTGGAACCATTTTTTATGGTATTTATTTTTTCCCCCTGGGCTTTTATCCTATAACTTGACCTATATTATGTAAGAAAATTCCAAACATTTTATTTTAAAGGAGCCCACACAAACCCTGTGATTTGAGTCTAAGTTAGTTGCTGATTTGGCTGGAGCCTGATTCGAGTGGATCCTTGAGTTCAGATCTTCATACTGTCAGTGAGCCCCAGCAGGCTCAGGTCTATTCCCACCATAAACAGAGTTGGGGAGGAGGAAGATATGAATGACTCAGGGCAAAGAGCGTTCTTGCCCACAGAACTGGATAGCTGTGGTCTGTTCCCTCCATAGCCAGCCCGAGGTGGATTTCCAAGAGAGTGGATTTTTATCATTCTACCTAGTGGTATGTCATTCTTGAAACCTCTCCCTATTTTAGTAATATTTTAGGCGCTGTTGTTTTTCGTCTGTCAGAGCAACTCATATGTGGGCCCACCTTTCTTGCACATTTTGGTTATGTGCTGAGAGCAGGGTGGAGTTGGGGGCCGGCGAGGGCGATTTCACTTGGACCCAGGGTTTCTGTTCTTCTGAGGTCAGGGTGGGAAGGAAATGCTACAGGGAGGATGTCTAGGTGACTCAGACACATCACAAGACAGTAGACTGTGGGTGCGCTCTCACTTGTGTTTGGAACAGAGGGCTCCAAAGAGCAGCTGGGACAAACCCTCAGCTTCTGAAGACAGGGCTAATTCTTGGGCTGAGCCTCATATTCTTGTCTTGGTCAAAACAAACTTCCTTTTCTCTTTATCAGTTGCCTAGCTTCCAGTTTTTAAAGAGATTAACAGCTCCCATTTTCTGACTCAGTTTCCCTTGTTAGATGGGGGCCTGTGGCATCATCTATATGGGGTGCTGGTGTTTGGACCAACTGGTGACAAAGGATCATTATTTTAGGGCTCTGCCTCACCCACCCCCTCTTGGGCCTGGAAACTCCTCATCCACATCCCCTACTGAAGGTGGGCCCCATTCTGAGGAACAGAGTCCCAGCTGCTGTTTCCATTTGAATGTGGGCCCCTACCCCCTGCCCCCCCTTACTCACCTGGGCCCTGCAGTGGGTGCAGGCTGTTCTTCTCAGCTGGGACAGCCTCTTGATTAAGGCTCCCACTTGTCTTACAGGGAGGGGACCATGTTTTCCAAGGCAAAGAGATCTTAGTTTTGAGGGCAGTTTATAAAATATAATTTGGATGCCAAAGTGTTGAGGTTTTTAGGACATGTGAATGATTTGTGAGAGTAGAGGGGCAGAATATGTGAAGTCCAAGGTTTTATGGCCAGTGGGTTTCAAGTCAGTTGGCTGTTTGAAGGCCCTTTCCCCTCCCCTCCCCACCCCTCCCTCCCTCCCTCTTCACCAAATGCCTGTCTGCTGGGGTTCCTTCTCTTTTTTATTCTTGAGCCAATAAGATACTAGCAATTTATTAATAGTGATTGCAGTAATACAGTGCTCAATGAGTGCCAGGCACAGTGCTAAGGGTTTACATACATTATCCCTTTTAATCCAGAAAACAACCTTTTGTTAGGTATTATCCCCATTCTATAGATGAGGAAACTGAGGCTGAGAGCCATGGTTGAGAAGACAGACTTGAGGCTCAAATAGCCTAGATCTGGGCAGGTTACTAGGGTGCCCTGAGCTTCCACCTCTGATTGGTTGGGTCTGATAATAGTACCTTCTTCATGGGATGGCTGTGAGGATTTCATGAGATAATGCACATAGGCACTTAACACATTGCCTGGCATATAGTAAGCACTTAATAAATGGTAGTTATCTTTGTGCAGCCCAGCTGGTAGTTTGACCCATGTTGGCATAATGCCAGAGACTGGGTTCTCATTCACCACAGTGCCACAACCTTGCACACAGCCTGGTGTTCATGGTCTAGAAAGTGACCTCTCTAAGAGCAGTCCTTCCAAGAGCAGCCCAAACAACACCTGATACCCTGCTACAGATCTTGGTGCTTCACAAATTGTTTAGAAGACTTGGCTGACAAAAGGAAAGAGGACATGAGGATATTCAGAAATTGTCTGCTCTTAGTGGGAATGGTTTGCCTGAGAACCTTGCCCAGTTCCTCTGTGCATGGTCTGGACTGTCCACGGGAAGGAGGCCAATTCCTCTTGCCTGGTGGCACCTCCACTCCATAGGCATTGAAGACCTGTCCGTGACTCCTCTGGGCTCCAGTCCCCCTGTGGCCAAGGGCCGTACTCTGTGCACACAGCTCAGGAACCTGCAGCAGTTCCCTGTGCAGGTGGACATTTTCAGGGGCCAAGGAGAGAGGGGAAAGTAGAAACCTGCTGTGTAGCAGATTGTACAGACCAAAAGCCTACAAACTCTGCCCACACCCTAACAACAAAACCAGTCTGGGCACTTGGATTTCATTCTTTCCTGAAAGTATTAACAGAATAGAAGCAGGCAGGTGACCCATTGAGGTCAGATGCTGTGGGGTTTTTCAGATTCTAGGTTAGCAGATAATCAAATGGGTGACTCACAAAAAAAGGAAGAGCAGGCACTGGATTGTGTGAGTGATGTGTCTTTAATGTAGTTTCCTGAACAGAGGCTGGGGAAGTTGGGGATGGTGGGCGTGGGGTGGAGGACTCTTGGAAGGGGTAGTGTTGGCTAATAGGACCCATGCAATTCTGAAGCCAGCTGAATAGTAACTTAGAGCTCCTAGCTTGATTGTGAATTAATTCCTG